CTAAACTCCAGTAAAACTTGAAAATAAAAAGAATAAAGTTTAGTACAAAGAAAACAAGAGCTAAAAAAAAACTAAACGAAAAAAACTGTTCACTTATATTAAAACCTAAGTCCAAAAACCGGCAAACTTCATATACTAAAAATCTAGAAGCGCCAAAAGAAACGAGTTAAAATAAGTCCAGGAAAATTAAAGAAAAAAAAATCAAATATTCCTACCCAGAGTTGGCAATGGAGCCAATGGAATTAAATGGTTACGTGAATGGAACTCAAAACTAATATCCATTGGCTCTATTTAGAGCTTCATTGGCTCCATTCGCAGCTCCATTGCAACCCTGCTTCTACCTACCTAAACTAAGACTCCTCAGACTCCTCAGCAGTAATTGCTGGAAGGTACCCGGTAATAACCTGAAATATGAGTCTTGCGTCGCCTGATCCTTCGCCCGGAAAGAAGACAAAAAAGAATAAATAAATAAAAAAGGAAAGAAAAATATATAATACTTTTCTAGTGTCGGATCAACAATAAATAAAGTTACAGTACAAAAAAAAAAGAACGTTAAATAGATCAGCCCATTTACCTTTCTACAAGTGGCTATTATGGAAAGCGTCGGAGAAGTCTTGCCCTGTGGTCCAGATCTGGAAAGAAATCGTATCACAATAATATCTTCTTTATAAGTGTTTTTGTTTTGTTCTAAGAAGGTTTCGCCCTTTTTGTCTAGTAACAAATCTCCGGACTATTTCGGGCTTTTAATATTTAAAAATGGTTCAACAATAATTGTTTTTATGAGAAATATAATGTTATCATCCCTTGCTATAACTTTACTAATGACACATTAATCAAATACCTGATATATAAAAAAAAAAACCGGCACCCCTGATAAAACTCTTAAAAAGGAAACAACCAACCAGGATTTTGATCATTCCGTATCAGTCCGACATGAATTCCGAATGTGCGAAAGGGTTTGTTATCATAGCCCTGTCTAAATCTCATAAATGTCCGCCAACACCAGACTATATTTCATTATGGGGTTTAGCCTACAAAATGTTTGATTTTACACAATTTGCTATGCCACCAAGTACAATTGAGGAAATAGTCACATGAGATCCACCCACCCATGTTTAGTAGTTAAGATTCGAATGTTACATTCAGTCTTAATTCAGCCTATGAAATTAAAAATCAATATCTTACTCGCCTAGGAATTTTATAGTCGAAATTAAAAATCGACATATATTCAGTCTACAAATTTATAATTGAGATTAAAACCACCCTTAATCTATACCATAAATTTATAGGCTAATTATATGTCTACTTTTGATTCGACTATAAATTTATATAGGCACATTCGTCCCTTGATATTTTTTTTCGTAAAATAGTATGACTTAGTAACCACCTTTATGAGCTACAGTAGTTAAAACTAAAGTTGAAAAGCTTGCTCAAAAATGCGGAACAGGTGTTTAATAATATTGTTATATATGGGGTCTTTGCCTTGAAAATGACCTTACGGTACATGATACCGTAAGGTCATTTTCAAGGCAAAGACCCCATATATGAAGATTATTAAAAATTATCAACTGATCCATGTGTTTAGTACCTTCATCCCTCCCGGAGATTATTCAAGATGAAGAAATTGCTCGCATTGTTTATCGTGCCATGAAAGAGAGTCCATTTCCTGATGATGCGGCATTGGTAATTAAATGGGATGATAGAGGATTTAATGATGTACCAACGGTTCCAGGCGTCGTAATGGTATAGTCGATCAGACGAAAGCCGCCCTAATTAATCACCTCGTGACAAATGGTGCGGTTGACGTTTACGGATTAAATTTAGTTTACATGTTTAAAAGTCCGGATGCACTTGGTTAGTGTGAAGCTACAATTCCTGCATGGTACGAGAATTTTATTTACTTTAATATTTCATTTTACCATCTTTTCATTCTTTTTTTTACTAAAGAGCTAGGTGTCAACCAGGCGTTCCAGAAGTTTGCAGTGCTATATGTAGAATCAATAAGACAACGGACGCCAGATACTCGACCGAGATAAGTTTCTATATCTACAACAGAAACATCTTAATATAGTATTATAAATTTACAGCATATTTTTACTGTCATTTCTAGCAGATTGGTAGAATTTGTAAATTTAATAAATAAATAAACTCAATTTTTAATATAAAGTAATAATTCTTTCGCATAGTGAATATTTATGTTTATTTATATTATAAATTTATAAATGCAATTTTCGAATCAACAAAAAATCTAGGTTGATTCGGTTTTGCGAATTTATTAAAACTGAAAAACCGAATCAACCCGGTTTTATTTAAACTCGGTTTGAAATTTATGGATGTGATTAAAACCGGATTGCAAAAATAAAATCGGTTCCAACCCGTGTAAAAATTCAGTTTGAAAAGTGCGTACTCATATGATCACATGCTTACTTCATATTAAAATAAGAAAAATTTCATCGAATTTTTTAACCTCTACTAACGTTGTGAATTTTGCAAATTGTACGTACGTCGTACGTATAGTACGTACAGTACGTACGAATATTAATAGTTTATCCATATAACTAACTATTCATACCCGGTTTTAAGAAAAAAAAACCCGTAACTGCATTGCATTTAGATCTAATAACATTAATGCGGTGTAACATGTGTAATTTACAACGTAAACAAAGCTGCATGCCCAGAATTATTTAAAGTGGTCATCATCATTCAATTTTCTCAGTTGCAAAATGTCGGATGCAAAATATTTTCAACGAGGTTTTTTTCAAATTCAAAAAATTCCGATTTTATGATTGTCTTACAACTTAGTTTCTAATGATGTAATTTTCTTTTATTAGGAAAGATCCATGAACTTCGCACCGAGTTAAACTCGGAAAAAAAGGATAAACAACACACAAAAAAGAAGACGGTATTAAAGAAAATTGTGGCCAACATGACTATGGGAAATGATATGTCAGCTTTGTTTCCTGACGTTATAAATTGTATGCACATACCTGCGCTAGAAATCAAAAAGATGGTATACCTTTACTTGATTAATTATTCGAGAGCGAAACCAGATATAGCAGTCAATGCAATTCCAACTTTTTTAAAGGTAATTTCTCATTTAAATTCCGAATTTTACTTGTTCAACACTAAAATATATTTTTTTAAATATTCTTAGGATGTGGATGATCCTAATCCATTGATACGAGCCTTGGCCATAAGAACTATGGGATATATTAATGTAGATAAAATAATAGACGCACTAGTTGATCCATTACGGAGTTGCCTGCGTGATAGGGATCCGTATGTTCGAAAAACTTCCGCAATTGCAGTAGCAAAACTATATATGCATGACCAAGTCCTAGTTGAAAGTGAGGGCTTTGTTGATTTACTAAGAGATATGCTTGCGGATTCTAATCCTACAGTAATTATTTATAAGAATATCTTATTATTGGTTTTCTTTTTTCATTCATTTTTTACATGTTATTTTTTTATCGTTATGTTAGGTTGTTGCCAATGCGGTTGCCGCCTTAACAGAGATATCAGAGAGATCAAATACCGTAACATTAAAATTGAATACGACCGTTGCCAATAAATTAGCTGCAGCACTCAATGAATGCACAGAGTAAAAAATATTTGATTTTCTCAATGATACGTTATATAAATGTTTAGACATCATAATCATTATTCCATTTCTAATTTAGGTGGGGTCAAACTTACATATTGGAAGCACTGATGTCATATGTTCCTCAAGAAATGGGTGATGCCGAAGTACTAGCAGAACGTATCTCACCAAGAATACAACACGCCAATTCTAGTGTTGTTCTTACAGCAGTCAAAGTAATTATGTACTTAATGAATTATATGACCAAAGAGGAAGACATAGCCAATCTGTGTCGAAAATTATCTCCACCATTAGGTAATAGTTATTATGATATTTAAATATTAGATATGTTTAAATATGTTTAAATGTGAAATATAAGACATTAAATAATTAGCTTGTACGTTTTTAATATAGTTACACTACTTTCAAGTGGGCATGAAGTTCAATATGTGGCACTTCGTAATATTCTTTTAATTATTCAACGAAGACCAGAAGTTTTAAGGAATGATATAAAAGTCTTCTTTTGTAAATACAACGATCCAATATATGTCAAGTTGGCTAAGCTTGAAATAATGTTTCGCTTAGCAAATGTTTCTAATGTTGACCAAGTTCTATCTGAACTAAAAGAGTGAGTTTAAAAATCATTATATATATTCCAATATTATTTTAAGCAATTTTAATGGCTTTAACCTAACTATAAGTTTATACTTTTTTTAAATTAGATATGCAACCGAAGTTGATGTAGATTTTGTCAGAAAATCTGTTCGTTCAATTGGTCGCCTAGCAGTCAAAATTGAATCAACGGCTGATCGTTGTATATCTGCACTATTAGAACTTATACAAACGAAAGTTAACTATGTCGTTCAAGAAGCCATTGTAGTCATAAAGGTATGCTTGTGTCATATGTTATTTTTAATATCCATTTAACAATTATAATTTACATATAATTATATAGGATATATTTCGAAAATATCCAAACCAATATGAGAGTATAATTGGTACTTTATGTGAAAATTTAGATAATCTAGATGAACCTGAAGCAAAAGCAGCAATGATATGGATCATTGGTCAATACGCTGATAGGATTGAGAATTCTGATGTATTATTAGATGATTTTCTTTTTACATTCCTCGAAGAACCTGTAGAGGTATTATTAATACGAAACTATTTATAAAGTTTATATCTGATTGATGATTGACTTTTTTTAAAAAACTATAAATACAGGTTCAATTATCATTGTTAACAGCCACTGTAAAACTTTTCATTAAAAGACCTACTGCTGGTCAAGAACTAATTCCTAAAGTTCTAAAATGGGCAACAGAAGATGTTGATAATCCAGATTTACGTGACCGAGGATATATTTACTGGCGTTTATTATCAACAGATCCTGTTACAGCTAAGGTGATATTCCTCGTATTTTATTAGATGTATTACAAAAACGACATTTCACTCAAATATATTATTAATTTACAGACTGTTGTATTATCTGATAAACCGCGAATTTCTACTGAAAGTGATAATATGGAACCTGCGTTGTTGGATGAACTTCTCTTACATATTTCAAGCCTTTCATCTATATATCATAAGTCACCTCAAACCTTTATTCCAAATAGTAAAATTCGGTATTTAGCCCACTCACCAGTTCTAAATCGAAGGTATCCCGGACAGCAACAACAACAGCCTAATTTACTCGATTCTGATATCGATAATTTAGCGTCAGGGTATGTCATTCATTATAAATTGCATGCACTCGGGGCAAAATAAATATCATTAATTAAAATTTTTATTTCACAGATCACTTGGAATCAATTCTAATCCTTATAATGTGGACGTTGTCAATATCGGTGAAAATTATGTTGGAGATTTATTATTAGATTTGTGATAACTTTTCAATTTATTATAATTTAATTTGTACAATCGTTTTTATTATCAAAGTATATTTAATAGACCTAAAATTATTAAATTGTGTCCAAAAAAAAAAAACAATTTTTTAAATCAAATCTTGTCAATTGCTAACCAAATGGTTCTAATTGGCGTTTAAAAAATATTATTTTCAGTCTTTATCGCTGTTTTCGAAATGGTTGAAAATAGCATTATTTACAAAAAAAAAAAATTTTTTTTTGCGAATACTCGAATACTCGATTAGTTTAGAACATTGGTCACTATCTTGTAGATTGGAAATCGATCATCGATCAATGTTCTAATCGAGTATTCAAGTATTCGCAAAAAAAATATTACCATTTTAAAACAGCGATAACAATAAATAATTGATAAAAATGCATTTCCTCTAGAAAATTTATTTAATATAAATAAATTTTTTTATTCATTAAATATTATGTTTTTCAATTAAAATTATATTACTACAATAACTTTAAATAGTTGATTTGCATTATCCCAAAAAAGCATTGGATGCTAATATACCCTTATTGTTTATAATTTATCGGTTATTCTAATACTTTTGAGTGCAACCCTAAGCGCACACTCTATAAATTCTTTAAATCCATGGCCCTCACTTATAAGAGCCCTAACTATACATTTTCTATTTATAGATGTAAACCCTCTTTAAATGACATTTCGTTTTTTTTTTTTTTATTGTCTAGAAGGTATTACTATCTTTTTTAAAAAAAATTAGATTATGAACCAATTATAACTCTTTTTAAGAGAAAGAAAGTCAATTTAGCCAAATCCAATTCCAAGCAAATCTCTCATTTGTCCTGTGATCAAAGGTTGAGAGCATCCTCTTGGCCACCTAACATTAATCCCAAATATGTTCTGCATCTCCGGAATATAATGTTGAAAATAATTAAACTGATTTTTAGATAATTGTCCATGCCTTAAACCACCATCAGGCCAATCCATTTTTGGATGATCTTTATGATATATATAATGCTCTTTTAGTACAAAAAATCTATATCCTAATGCGTTAAGTGAAAATGCATGTTGTTGCTTGTCACCACCTTGATTACGAAATCGTTCATCATATAATGGTGCATTTTTAGATATGATATAATATGGTTCCCATTGGGATTCATAACAAACCTCATAATAAGGTAAAAAAGTGTATAATTGATGTGCAAGAAATATTTTTGTTCCAGTTGGGCCGTGGCCTGAATATGGATCAGTTATATAAGCAATACCTTGACGAAATAAACTTCGTAATTCAGAAATACTGTTTGGAAATTTTCCACGATAGCTTTCGAGTAACGCAACACATGGAACCACGAAAGCAGTTGGATGGGATGATTGTCGTAATAAAGGGATTAATGTAGAAAATGCAAAATGGTATAATTGAGAAGTTGGAACAAAATCTGCATCCATAACAAAAATATAATCAGTTGGTGCCGTTTTGATTCCAATATTTCGAAGTTGGTTAATTGGATATTTTAAATAGTGATCTGTTGAGTAATTTGGTTTAATTATTGTTAAAGAAACACGATTATAAAGATAGATATTTTTGTCCATTCGGAAATAATCGATGAGAGTGTAAACGTCATGTGGATTGGTAAGATATCTAAGAACGATAAACTAACGTTAAAAAGGGTATAATGTATTTTTTTTATTTAAGAGGAGATTAACATACATCACAGCTGAAACAGGTCCAGGCCAAGCGGTTAATGCTTGTCCAAAACGCTCTAATCGATTTACGGAAAATTGAGAAATAAGAGTCACATCATGATTGAAAAAATGCAATTTTGATTTGTGATGGTGAATTAATTCTTGCATATTATTTTCATCTGTTTTTAAAAATGAAAAAAAATCAATCAGTAAATATAAATACTAGATCATGAAATCCAAATTCCTTAAAACTTACTGAATTCGGTTATTTGTTCCAAGGCAAGTCTTAAATCCGCTAATATAATATAAAATAGCACATGACGTCAAACCTATTTTTACACATTATAAACGAAATTGATCAATAAACAAACCTGAAATATCTAAGCGTGATACCAAATTACAAAATTCTTGACCCGCACAATTCGTAAAACCCATAGGAATCGATAAACGTTTATCGTCTCGAGTAACCAAATCCACATTTAAGCCCATTGGAACTTGAATCGTTCTTATATTGTGATAAATGTGTTCTCTCTGTAATACACTATCCTTCCAATACTTTGGTTCCCAAAAAGAACAAACATTGTTGTCATTGCAAATTTGAACCTTGCTAATGGAGATATTAACTAAAGATTCTACTCTAAAATTATTTCGTATTTCAGCTAGAGTTGAACCGGGCGTCTGAAAAAATAAAAAAGGAAATGAAAAAATAAGACATACGAAAACAAGACGTCGTCTATAAAGAAGTGAAATAAAATGTTGCAGAATACGTTTGTTTTCTGACACAATTTTTTGCTCAAACATTAGAACCGTTTTATTATCAATCAGATTAAACATTTTGAATATTATCGTTATACTAATTTATTCCCCACTCTCCTATTGGACGATGTTATTTTCTATCATTTGGTTGGACAAAAATTGAACGCGGCAGATTCTCGATTTTGATTGGCTAAGAGCGACGATCAAAAAAATTGGGCCGGAATTAAAAAAAGTGAAAATTGATCTTGGGCAAATTTTTAAAAATTTCTATTTATGAAAAAATCAAAAAGTTAATTCCGGCCGGAAATTAATAAGCAATTATGTAATGCGACCGGGGTAAAATCGCCACCCGAAAAAAGTATCGAACATCACGTAATAAATATATCACCAAAAAGTCTTTATAGACTAAAAAATAATACTGTAATAACGATAAGCAATAAATTAATTATTCAATAAACGTAATATTTATTACAGTCATAATATTATTATTACGATTTTTCTAAGTATTTGGGATATTCCATTGCCTTTTAAAATGATTTTATGCCATGGCTCAAAATTTTTATTATCGATCCATTTGTTACTATTTGAATTAATCATGTTTTCTTCAATAATTTTTTTGTCACGTTCTGGATTCAGAATTATAAAACTTTTTGCTCAAATAAGTAATCAGTTATAGTCTTCCGGAAGAGCATTCAAAATAAAATCTATAAGATTTTCTGGTGTAATTGCATTTGCCTGATTAGTTTTTATAATTTTATTTCTTTTTTCGTTTATCATTAGAATATTGTGTTATTTGATTTTGTTTTTAAAAGATTGCAACGATCGTTTTACATTTTGAAAAATCGAAGAAAACAAAATCATTTCTGAATCAATTAATACTTTATTAAATATTATTACAGTATCATGATCCTAATCATGATGAATTGACAATACCACATGATTTTCGAACTTTTTTTGGGTGGCGATTTTACCCGGTCCTAAAATAGTCGGACACTTTAAGTCCTCAAAAAAAAAAACCCCCCCAATTTAGTCCACCTTTAAAAATTACAATAATGCCTGATAAGATGGCAGATCATTCTTCATTGATGAATAACAAAATCTTTCATCAAACAATTTCTGAATGATGAATAACTAAATCTATACGATGATGAAGCCTAAGACTATTATTCTTTTCTTTCATAATGAAATAAATTAGTTCATGTGAATTTTTTTTTGTTTACGATATTGTATCATCAACTACTTTTCTGTTTTTATTTTTTTTTATTTTGACATATTTCCTGAAAAATTTGCATTACAGCTGATTGAAAATTAGTGGGACACTTGAAAAATTTGCTTGTTTCCCAAAATCTTTCGGATTCGTCTTACGAATCATCTAACTCTTCGGAAATCACATCACAATTTTCGGGTCGAAGTTCTGATGTGGGTTCCGAAGAGTTAGATGATTCATAAGACGAATCTGAAAGTTTTCAGAAAACGAGCAAAATTTCAAATCTCCCACTAATTTTCAAATCAGCTGTAATCACTGGGAAGTATTTAATGAGCCTTCTGTCGAAAGAAACTACTGATAATAAAATGATTACCGGTTTTAGATTCCATTAAAAATTAATTTTGCATGAACTTGTTAATTTTTCGTGGTGCAACTTTTTTAAAAAGAATTAACAATTTGATAGAAAAAGCCTACTATATCCCTATGTTCCTATATGAGACGGTGAAAACATAACAGTAAATTTTGAAAATTTTAATATTTTGAAAATTTTAATATTTAGCATATCCAGTGGTCGTTGTTACTCTCGCGCGAAATGCTGATGTTATTCTATTGATTCTCGCGCGAGATAATATAAATAATTTGTAATGATATCGATAGGCACATCTGTAAGAAGCTTGTTGATATTTCATGGTCAAAATTGATCCGTCATTAATTAGGGGTTTCGTCAAGTTTTGTAAGACGAATAAATTGAAGAATCATTTCGCCAATCCAACCAACAACTCAATAGAAACTACCTTTTATTCTAATAAAATTAATTTATAAAATTTTCGAATAATCTACCTTCCATCTCTGTCCTAAAATAACTAAAGTCTAACCCTAACGCTAAGTCAAATATGTCTTGAAATTTGGAAACGTCACTACATTGTCGAACGTTACACGGGAATTTTTTTTTAAACAGTCATACCTTTATAACGTTAATAAAAAAGCTTACACTTAAAATGGCAGTAAAATTCTTTGAAAATCTTTCAAATAATTATCTTGAATTACTTGATGACAAAGTAGATTTTAATATAATCATTAATGTCGGTGAATCACCAAATATCAAAATATTTCAAGCACATTCAGCAATTTTAAAATACAGGTCTTTATATTTTCGTAATGAATTGGCGAATGTCAGTAAAGATATTAATGGTATTAAAACACTTAATTTAAGAAATATTTCTATCCAACATTTTGAGATTATAATCAAGTAAGTTATTTTTTATATTATGATTTATAGATGTTGCGAGAAAAAATCTAAAATATAAATTTAATTTTATGCAAAGATATATTTACGGAGGAGTTGTCTTGCTTGAAAAGCATAATACTTCATTTATTTTTGAGCTTATGCTTATTGCTTATGAATTTCATTTTGATGAATTAGCCAAACATCTTGAAACTCGTTTAATTGAAGCGGAAGCTCATTGGCTTCGTTTAAATTTTACTCGTATTTATCAAAAAATTTTCCAAAATCATAAACTTCAAGAATTACAAAAATGGTGCAATGATATTGTGGTAAAGTATCCTGATAAAGTTTTTGAATCGGAATACTTCATCTCTTTTCAAGAAAATGTGCTAGTATCACTTATTAGTCGAGATGATCTACAAATGGAAGAAGTCAAAATTTGGAATCGTGTAATCGAATGGGGAATTGCTCAAAATCCTGGCTTATCGACAAATCCTGAAGATTGGTCAAATGAAAATTTTCTAGCTTTAAAGACAACTTTACAAAATTGTTTGCCTCACATCCGTTACTTTCAAATGTCAGGTGATAATATTCTTAATAACATACAACCATATCATCAAATTCTTGAAAAAAAACTTTGGAATGATATAATGAAAAAATTCATGACTCCAAATCAATCAATAACTTCAAAAATCCTTCCGCCTCGTGTAATATTAACACCAAAACTACCAACTAGAACTATAGAACCATTTTCAACAGTTATCAATGATGTACAAGCAGCAGAAATTGTTTCATGGGTTGACAGAAAAGAAAACATATATTCAGTAACAAATAATCCGTACAAGTTTAAATTACTTCTTCGTGGAACTAGGGATGGTTTTACCAGAGGTTCATTTTGGAATTTATGTGATAAGCAAACTCATCTTGTTGTAGTTATGAAGGTTAAAGGTACTGATGAAATTCTTGGTGGTTATAATCCTATCGGCTGGGATAAATCTAGAACTTGTTTTTATATGACTTGCAATGATAGCTTTATTTTTTCATTGAAAAATGGTACCATTCAAAATTCTATTTTAAGTCGTGTAAAAGATCCAAACTTTGCAATTTATTGTCGTCATAGGCATGGACCAATTTTTGGTGATGGTGGCAGTGATCTAATTTTGTCGAATAATTTTGATCAAGATGACAGTTGCTGGCATCATCAAACGTCATATGAAAATCGAATTAGAAATGCATCTACATTTAATAGTAATGGAACTTCATACTTTTCAGTGGATGAATATGAAATTTTCCAGATTAGTTAAAAAAAAAACATAATAGTTTTATATGCTGAATAATTAGCTATGTAGCTTCATTTACCTTCTTAAAATATAAGCTTAAAATTACTCTGTTTATTTGTAATTTTGACTTTCTTTAAGTTTTAAATTTCCTATATTTTTGTTATTAATATTAAAGTTAAATATACAGATTTAATCTATTAAGGTGATTCAAATTAACCTATTTCGAAAATAAGTGGGAATTAAAAATTTTATTTCTGTTTTGAGATTCCGAAATCAGAAAATGAAACAGATGTATTTTTCTGATGTCATAAAAAAATAGAATTACTAATTTAAGTAATTCAAAATCAACCCTATTAAATTAATTAATCACTCATGCACATTTAATTACAGTATTATGATTTGAACTAAGCAGATATATCAAATTATGAGAGCTTTTTATAATGAATACTGATTCCGTCGGCGAAGTGAAATGAATACTAGACTTGTCGGAGAGAAGTTTTATTTCTAGAAATAATATAAATCACAAACCAAAGTAATGGCGCAAAAAATTGGCGGTCTTGTAATTAATCTGTGCTAATTTTCGTAAATTTGGGTAGTTTCAAGAGTGAACCCAAGGATATCTTCGTGATAATCACATCACATGATTAAACACTCGGCCTAAGTTAGGGTTAGGTGATGGTATAATTTAGCCCAAATCTGTTAGTGGTACAAGTCAAACTCGTTATAGTGAACTCTCGTTATAGTGAAGATTCAATATAGTGAAGAATTTTAAATTACTAGTATTCTCTCGATATAAGTTATAGTGATGATTTTTTTCCTCAGCCCGATGACTTCACTATAATGAAGTAAGCAAATGACGTCATTCCATGATTTCACATGACGTGATGATCACTGGGTTCATTGTTCTTTAAGTGTCCCAATATATTGACAAAATCATTACAGCTGATTTTAATTATTTTTTCGATAATATAATTTTCAGCTCCGAAAGCTATAATTACCGACGATCATCACAAAATTCATCACGTGTCCCACTAATTTTCAAATCAGTTGTAATGACTCAACCTTTTGCTAAGAAACTACCTTTTCCTTCTAATAAAATTATAATTCGTATACTGCAATCTATGTTCTATCTTTCCTAAAATTCTAGCCCTAAGCCAAATCAAATTATAAATTACAGTACATATACCCTTTGTCTCGTCGAAACCTGGAAATGACACTACATTACATTGTCAAACATTACACGGATTTTCGATAATTCTGGTTTACATTCTTTTTTTATAAACAGTACGCACGTACGTATATGAGTGCTGCAGAACAAAAAAACATGTAACTAATCACAGTAAATCATTATGATTAGTTACAGATT